ATTAGTAGCCACAAAACCAGCAAACGCTTGCCCCTTAAAGAGCATTTTGAATAGCAAAGCTGTACTGAGTACTGATTGTAAAATAGGCCTGTAAAAGTTGATATCATGCATGAAAGTATCTGCCGAGGTTTATCAACCTTCTAACAAAGGAGGACTCCAATGTTTCACAGGTTTTGATGTACTGTGACGCTGGAGTATCTTACCTGCTGAAAAAGTGTTTCAGGGTTGTGCAATAAAATTAGAAAGAAACATGAGGATCTCCCTGATCTCAGAACAAGGACTGGGTGCTAATTTTGAAGCAAAAAAAAAAAAAAAAAAACCAAACACAACAACAAAAAAGACTCCCTCAAGACTTCAACAGAGATTCCCTCATCTACTAAGGTTGCTGCGGTAAACATCTGGGTTTTTTGTCAGAGGAAGAAAAAAGACTACACATGACAAAAGCTGGAAGCGTTCCCTTCCCTCAATAACTAAATCTAAGCTGTATGTGCTAAAAGTTATTTCATTTTCCAAACAAGCTTGTTTTAGATAAAATCCCATCATCTCTATCAGAAGGAACACTAGTTTACATTTATACCACACTAAAATCAAAGAAACCCAAAACTTCTTTCCAAGCTTCAGGCAACTGTACTGAAACACATATAATTTAAACATAAATTTCAGTTTAAAATATATTTCTAGAGCATCTCTACTCTGCCCAAAAATAAAATACAATTGAGATTAGCCTGTACACTTAAAAATCTGGTATAGAAAGATTATTTTATCCTATATATTCTTCATAGCCAAGCTATCCAGGGAATAATATCAAACTTGTGCATTGTGCATACACAAATCTTATAGAACAGAGAGAGCAATAGCAATTCACATTTATCTGAAGTATGAGCTCAAGAATCATTAAGTTGGTCAAATCGCATCCATACTTCCATAGTGACCGTGACAGTGACAGCAACAGTAACATTTCCTCATATCCTCAAAGACAACGGCTCTGGTCTCTCCAGAGTGAGCAGAGACATTTTTTTGCATGGACCAGCATGAGAGCAGCAATCAAGCTTATGGCAGTTTATGCAGAAGAAGTTTCTCCGTTGCTCATGGGAAACTGTCAGGTGTGACATGAAATGGAAGTTAGATGGATGATGAAAATGGTTCTAGCAAATGTTTGATACCAGAATTTTTTATTTTTTTTTTTTTAAAGACAATGCAGACAACAACAAGGTGTTGTGCTACCAGAGGAAGGTAAGTACAATGCAATCATTTATACAGGTTACATATGATAGAAAAATAAATTGTTCTGAAGCGTTACCCATAGCATAAGCGATATAGCTCATTAAAAAATGCCCTTTGGGATATTGCCAACTGCATATCAGTTTTTTTCTTTTTAATTAAAAAAGCTACTGAAGTTCTGCTTAAAAAGACAAGCCTTAAGACATGTTCAGTTTTTATTAAATCCTTTACTGATCCTTTACTGACCCTTCCTATACACTTAGCATTGGTGAGACCACATCTGGAGTACTGGGCCCCCCAGCACAAGACATACATGGAGTTACGGGTGTAAGTCCAGCTCAGGACCACAAAGATAATTAAGAGACTGGAGCACCTCTCATATGAGGACAGGCTATAGAGATATAAAATATTTTCTTCACGTAAATAGACGTTGGCATACCACAAAAACCTGTCAAAAATCAATTCTGCTAAAGCTGAGCTTCCAAGCTGCAGCTGTTGACATAAACTCCTTTTATGAACAGTTCTATTAGCTGATTTAAAAAAACCCCATATATATCACTGCAAGATACTAATAATAAATGAGGACAGTACAATTATATGAAAAATAAGACACATTTGTGATATAAGGGAAAAACACTTTTCTTAACATATTCTTGAAGTTATCAAAGTGCCATTATTTTTGATATAGCAGTCTTTACTTCCATTGACAAGCAGTGATTCTTTGCAGTTGCTGAAATCTCCAGGAAAAATGTTTTCTCTCTATTATTGCTAAATGCTAATACTGCATTTGCCTTAGCAATTGGTAAAACATTTGAAATTACAGTTTTCAGAATTTCCAGTGTTAGTCACATTAGCCAAAATATTTTCATCATTCCTTTTTTAGCTTATAGTGAACTTTTGTGCTTCTACATTTTGCAGCTACGTGTCTGTTTTTTAGAAAATGAGCAATAATTTTTGTGAAAATCTTGAGATATTAAGATGGCAAAATAACTTCCTTCTGACTATTTCAAGAAAAAGAATAAATTCACAACTGTAAGAATATACCTTTAATAACATAGAGCTTACTTATCATATCTAAGTACCACGGTGGGTAACATTAACAAGCAAGTGGTAAAGGAAGGAAAAGGAGCTTTAAAGGGAAATATTTTCTTTTGCATCACATGTTGTAAACTCAGTTTTTATATCCTTACTTCTGTTGAGAAAGAATACCTTAATCCTAGTCTAATCTAGTTGAAGGCAATAGAGGCTATGCCAAAATGGTCTGAGGGCACCTGAGCTGCATCATCATCCTACATTATGAGGAAATATGGATATTTGTTGTTCCATCCCACATGCATACCTTGCAGGAGAATGCGTGGGAAATCTGGACCAGACAAGAGCTGCAGGGCACTTGGGTGAGGTCCATGGCATTGGGGGACAGGAACAGGGAAGGGGTAAAGACCCTGCAGCACAACAAGGAACTTGCATGCAGCTTAGTTTTAACAGAGGAGGTTGTTGGAGAAGATACTGTACTGTTCATTCAGTGCAAATGAAGGTAGCAGTCCAAAGTCTTAGAAGATTTAGCTACGTGCTAAGTAAGGAAGGTTGGACAGGAGGGTAGAAATGCATATCTGAATTTAATTAAATGTCCAGGCAAATTTGTGAATTTGCACCTAAGATTCTCAAGCAATTCAATAGATAATGGGACTGGCAACCTTTTCCAGCTCTCATTGCAAAACACATTTTCATATGGTGTCTAGGCTGTCATACATTTGTGGCTGATGACTGAAATTTTCTTTGCCCCTGTGTGCCTAAAGTCTACCCTTCATTTAAGAATTCAGGTTGCATGTGCAAACAAAATCCTCACACTTACATGATATCCACTTTGCATAGGAATCAACAGATGAACTCCACTTACAATTGCCAAACAAACGTATCCACTAAACTCCAACTAGACAACCTTGTGCTTGGTCAGGTCAGCTGCCAAGTTGCTTCTGATTAGGTGGACTTCAGAAGGAGTTTCCTCACCAGGCCCTTTGAGTTTCAGTTTAAAGACGCTCAGCTCATTGTAAATCCTATTGCTATAGATGAAATCTCGCAATTTTCTACAGTGATCTCTGAGAAAGTTTGGACCAATGCATTCTTCAAAGGCACACCTGAAGCATGTACAGTCCCAACAAATTTCCGTAAGAATCAGTTACTCAAGTGCTCACCCAATGAATAGAGTCCAATGCATTCAGTTGAACATTTCTGAATGTCTCCTGTCAGATGGAAAATTGTTTACTTCGAATGGCAAATGGAAGCCTTGAAGAACTGGCAGCTGAAGAAAAGCCCCAGTTCCTAATACGGTATACTGAAACCTCAAACATAAGTAAGTCTACACAGATATGCCAATATCTACATTGCCAACTAAAAAAAATGAAATAATACACAGGAAAAAAAATATTTAGAACCTACGGTTTATTTTTAAATGTTCACTCTCTCAGCTGATGTAAAAATATCAAGACTAATCACTTCATTAAAGCAAATATCATTACTAGACATGCCTGAACAAATTTCTTTCTTAGTAACTCAGGTGGTAAGGGTATTAAAGTAAGGAAAGAACCCAATCAACATCAAAGGAAGGAGAATTTGGCTCAGTAAATATCAAAATGATATTGCATTAATAAAAGACATGATTTATTTGCCTGGTTATATAACAAATAAATTGTTAGATTATTTCAAACATAGATCAGGAAGATAAGAGAGCTTTTCAAATACCACCATGATTTAAATCAGTAATTTTCATCATGAAGATCCACAGGAAAAACCAATTTAGTGCTGGCAATGATATAGTGAGTCTTCAGTTAGTTTGGGACAATTGGGAAATATATTAATCTGACTTCTGGCAAGAGTCAAATAGAAGTAGAAAAATGTGGTATCCAAAATGATCCTCAAGATTTTCAGTACGTAAGGAACGCTGAACTAAAAAGCAAACCATGATAGTCTCTACAAGTATATATTTATGAACATTTAAGGTAATGATAGTTCATGAAGGCTTATGAAAACTATAAAAGATATAGCCATGCTACATGCATCTTAATCTATAGCCATGCATTCTCAGCAAAGTCCATGGGAGACTGCATTATAACTAAGTTTCAAGCAAAAAGCAAAATAAAAAAAAAATGCTTGCAATAAACACTGAAATTTTAATTTTTTTTTTTAAATTTAATTTATATTTTAAATAATGCTTGGAATATTATGCAGTAAACAATTAAAAAATTTGAACCACCCAGTGGTTCACAAATGAAGAATGATACATAAAAGAAATACCAATGAATGAATAGTAGAATCTTCTAATTCACCACAATTTAGGACAGGTACCATGGAATAATCAGGAAAACAGCTTTTTTTTCCACAATGCACTCTCCGAAATCAGTGTCCTCAATATTCCGAAACATTATAAAGAAAAAAAACAAACAAGCAAAAAAGAAGAAGAAGAAAGCAGGACCATGCTGTTCACCCACGCACCTGGAGGAACAACTCCAATACCATCATCAACATCATAATCTGAGATGTCACTATCACTGATTGGCCGAGATCCTGCACAACAGTAAGGTAAACAAATACCTGAACATCTGGTTGTGTTACAAAATGTAAAAATATGTTCATTTAACATGCTACTGAAATTAAAAAGATGATTTTAAGTCTAAACAATAGAGGAGGAGAACTAAACTGCAGTGACTGACAGTGACAAGACAGTTGAGCCAATTTAACATCTTACAGCTGCTGCAGCCTCTTTTCCCCTTCTCCTTCCCTCAAGTCCTCTGTAATCCTCTACTAGGATAGTTTACCTCACTAAGCCAGCAAAAGGTTAATTCAAATAAAGAAAAAAAATTTACTTTTGTGCTATTTCAGTGAGTAAGCTGAATCAGCCTGCT